GTTGCTTTCACGCCACGATATGGTAATGATGGCACAGGGAGTGTTTGCCTAACCTGTCGATCTGTTCAAAGTGGAGCAAAGAACAGCGTAGCTGAAGGAAGGCGACTTGATCCTGTTGGAGAAAGACGATGCGCCCCGGTCACATTGGCCTCTAGGAAAAGTTCTCAAGACATTCCCTGGAGATGATCGCAGAGTGCAAGTTTTGTTAATGTTTGTAAATTAGGTTGCCGTTTGTCTCATTGACTCACTAGGGAGGGAGGGGGGGAGAAGGAGCAGTCGCTGTAAAATTCCCAAGATGATGTGAGAGCATGACTCGGACCACAAGGTGATTTGAATGTAAAAACGTTGTTGTTGCGTTGACTTTTTAGCCGTTTATTGGATCATGGATTGTTCAAGGAGGATTGTCGGATTTATGAGCTGAATCATGATAGTATAAGACAGTATTGGGATAATTTATAAGATCTTTTCAGTCAACTGTCCAGTGTGAGGTGGCAGACATTCAACTTCAAGTCACAACTGTTAACTAAGGTCAATGTATGTTTAATTTGAGCTGTCAGTAAAAGAACATTTGACTGTAATAATAATTTAATTTCAGTACACTTTAATTTATTACACTACAGAGATATGCAATTGCTACAGACAGTACACTACAGATTAAACGCGATTGTCTGGTTTCATGAGAGTTCTGGCATCTTTTAATATCGTAAGGACTCATTGGGTTTTGTACTTGGACTCATTGATTCTGGAATGGGAGTCATGATTTTTTATGCGATGAGCCCAAGTACTCAATACTAGCAAATTGTAACAAAGTCACTCTACTGTGGGTGCCCTTGCAAGATCCTTACGACCGGAACATCCTTTAAGATTGTACCCAATTAAATGTGAATGGCTGAAGTGAATCTTTCTTGTGATCATGACTACGGTGCTACTGATCACCTGCAATCTTGGGAAATGAGCGGGAAATATCATCATAGCACGTTCTTAATACGCATTTCATATTGAACGTATGAGCACAAAACAGTGAAATACATTCAGAAGTATGGATTCTGGAGTTTCTAGGATTCAGCAGTGGTGAGAACAAACACAGGGAAAAGCAAGAGAAAAGAAGAGCTCATTATAAAAAAAATAGCACGAAAATTATTCAAAAAGCACTGGAAGCTTGAAAGAAAAGTCAAGAAGCCAAGTGTGCAAGTGGACGGTCTTTGTTCTCTTAAGGGAAATTCTTTCTTAGGGAAAACGTAATTGATCAAACATACAAACTATATGAAAAGGTGGCAGCAGTGCTTCCAGGAACTGTATGCTATATTTGTGGTGCCTTGACATCAAAGGTAAAGAGATGGCAAATATTTCAAGTTCCATTGAATGAACACAAGCAAATATTAGCATCTCTTTGACTTTTTTACAGTTAACATGTTTCTTTTGTTGTAAATACATCTGCAGCTTTAGACTGAAATTTCTGCTTAAAAATTTTCCTCAGAGGAATTAAGATGTAATATATTTTGTGTAAAAAGGGCGTGGTCGCAATGCATCATGGGTAGTAGAAAAATAGCAGAATATGTTCTCAAAAATTGTTGAGATGGCATTTTTTTGTAATGTCATTTTTCATTGCTTTTTAGAGTTACTTGAAACACCTACTGTATTTTTTTAAAAGATTTTGATTTAAGGCCAATGTTGCCCCTTTGTACATCAGAACTGTGCTACTGATCAGTTATGATAACATTAAGCATTAAGCCTCCCCCAAAAATTTTAGGTAATTACCCAATGCATGGTAAAATACGTACTTTATTACCTTAAAACAAGTTGATTCACTTTTCACGGATATGTAATCAAAATGATTCATGCTGATTTATTCGGGCTCTTTTCCAACAAATATATGTTCTAACATCCTTCCAAAATACTAGTTTCGCGATTATTGAAGCAAAAATTAATGACCTGTGTTTCCTTTACCAACTGGCTACCACAACACCTTTAGCCACCCAGGCATGATACCATCTGCTAAGGGGATAAAGAGCCCCAACAGACTTCAGGCCCAATTACAAGCTGAAGAAATGCATTTCTCTCATTTGCGTCCTTTCATTGTTATGAAATTATTTCCTGCACAAAGAAGGGTGACAACACTGCTAAAACATAAAACAAGAGGCATTTCCGCTTTTATTGTGGCAAGTTGTGTGAAAAATATTCTCTGCATTATGACCACCACCACATACACGAGGCAGAGGTAGCTGAACAATTTGCATATCCACTCAACTCAAAAGATCGTAAAAAAGCCCTTGAAAACATGTGATTGCAAGGTACTTTTCATCATAACTTGCGTGTAATGAAATGTGAAAGTGGACAGATCATTGTTGTGAGCAGACAAGGAGAAGAAGAGGACTGTTCTCAAGATGACTATCCGCCTCACATTCACCGTCTCCGCTTTCTAAAGAGAAAGGATGTTCAAAGGCAAATAGAGCGTACAATTTCAAGAGAGGTGGTGAGGGTGTTATGACTGACAAGGACAATTATAATTACATGACATGCAGAAAAACTTCAAACAAATAAAATTATTACTTTTACAGTCAATATGCCCCCTGAAAGAGTTCATTCTTCCAAGAGAGTTGTAGAGACCATGAAATGACACCAAATGACTCATCGTATGAAATGATTCTGGAGTATCTGCTTTTCGCACCATGATGGTGGGAGAAGTAGGAACCCGGAGATCTCAAGACATTTTGCAAAACCTTGCATGTCTGCTTATGTCATCGAGAGAAGCAGAAAACAATGTTCCAGCTCCTTTGTCCTGAAAAGTTTGACATCGTTGTGCAATGTATCATGGACATGTCCAAGATTGATATAAAGATGGGTCAAAGTCAAGTTGGTACACCATAATTAGCATTACGCATTGGTTACTCTTTCAAGAAATGCATCGAAATTGTTAGTGGAAAACCACTCGATGAGAAAGACGGAGATCTTGTAGTAAACATTGAGCATTAAATAAACTCATGGAAGTTGAGTGAAATTACCATAAAAGCAATTATTCCATGACCACACTGAATGACAGAAGGGATAATCAACGAGACCTCCCTGTTTACAAGTGACCTTCAGAAGTTAAAGGAGTACACTGTGTTCAAGATCATTTCACTCTCTTGAAAGTTGCAATCTGCAACTTCAACAGACGTACACACCTGGCGAGAGAGCTCAGTGAAATGGTGCAGGTGCTAAACAGAATAGACCACGAGTAGTCCCCCATTTTTCCTCAGGGATAGTAGAGCGAGCGAAATGCAAGCACCTGTGAAAATCACCCTACACAAGAAAGGGCGACGCGCCGTGGGGAGAGAGAAAAATAAGGGACTACAGACAAAGCCCAAGCTTTTAAACTTATGCTTTGCTCTCACAACACAAAACTCTGATTGGCTCTTCCATGGAAATCTGTCAACATCTGTGAAAAACGCGCCAGCCGCTATCAACACTCAACATAATCACAATTTACAGAACAAATAAGTAAAGCAGAACAAATAACAGCACAGAACATCTAACTAGCGGTTGCTCTTGTAGAAGCAACTAAGAAGAAAGCCAACTCGACAACTGATGAGGTTCAAGTGGAGAACCGAAACCATGGTCTTGCCTGATTACAAAGTGCTAGTAACAGTCACGTCGCCATTCTCCGTAGTTTTAGTTTAAGCTGCAATCCATTCTTCAAGATTTGGATATCACTATCTGCCATGCTCAAAACCATAACGAGCTGGGGCCAGCGGGACAAAACAATGCAGGAATCCTCACATTCACGGCCAAAACGAGAATCCCTTAAAATTATTCAGATCCAGTGGGCAATCACCGGAGAAATAAAACAACTCAAAACCCTTAATTAGCCGCATTGAAGAGCTTTACTTTTCAAAAAAGTGTCACAACCTCTCAGTATGAAATAAGCAGCAAAAATCACATTTGCTCAGTCGAAACGTTTTCTACAGAGCATAAGCTACCCATCACAGAAAAACAAATTCATTGGAACAAGCAGCATTGTGGCATGAGTAAAAGTGGTGTGTTGCCTACACTATCAAGTTCCTCACGCGAAACACCGGTGAAGAAAATTAGTATCAGGGATTTCTTTTGCTTGCAATAAATATCCCTCGCAGTTTATCGACGACAGAAGCAATGACAGGTCAATGAGGGAAGGAATCCCGTTGGATGCGCTTAATTGATTTGGAAGGGGATAAGAACTTCACACTCCAAAATCAGTTGGCCGTAAAGGGTTAAAAGCTTGGCCTTTGTCTGTAGTCCCTCATTTTTCTCTCTCCCCGCCGCATGTCGCCTTTTCTCACGTGGGGTGATTTTCACACGTGCTCGCGTATTGCTTGCTCTTCTATCCCTGAGGAAAAATGGTGGACTACTCATAGTCTATAAACAGACTGATACTCGTTAACAAATGCAGAGGGGGAGAAGAAGCAGGACTGCAAGAGAAGAAAATAAAAGTAGAAGAGAAACGTAGGATAGCGGATTGATTTCGTTAGATAAATATTGGCTTCCTTACGTCTTCCTTACGTTTATTAGTATATTTTGTTTCCTTATATTTTCACCCTTGTAAATGTACTTTGGATAGTCACCACAGAATGTGAACAATTTTGTACCTCCAGCGAACTTTCTCAAATCAGTAATGTCACCAGAGACGATGTTTTAATGCTGTTTATGGAGATTTGACAAGTTGATATTTAAAAAAGGGACATATCTTGTTTTTCCGGATATGATGGCTGGTCGCACATTATGTAGTCCTGAAGCATATTTCATAAAGTGCATATTAGAAACAATAGCCTGAAATTGTTTAACAGATCTTTATGATTTTGGGCTGACTTCCTGGCATAATATGTGGCTGATATTTTAGTGCACACGTAATATATGCCAGTCTTTGAGGTAATTGGATGTCCATGATCATCAACTTGGATGGTTTGTGATCAATCAGTCTGCTCCTGGACGCACTCCCATCTCAGGAGCTACTTCTATTGACGAGACAACCACACATGATCAATATGGCAGACAGTCGAGTTTTCCGAAGCTCTTACATTATCGTTCTTTTCTTCCGCGGCATTCTTTATGACGCTGGAAGATTAAGTTTCAAGGACAGGTTTTGCTTCGCAATACCGGCTTATTTGGAGTTTGGGACCTATTATCAACCTTGGCAAGTAAAAACGGCATATTTAATTTTTGTTCCAGCCTGGAACAACAGTCACCATGATTCTAAAGTTTACAAGGTGAAAGGCTATTTAAGTTCTAAAGTGGGCCGATATCCCAACTCAGCTTCCACATTCCAAATATCTTGTTTAATCATCAGTGGAGTTATCTCTGAAAAACCTGGACGAAGCACGAATAAACTGATCTGTCCTGAGTGCTCAAGAACCATTGCCAAAAACCACAGATCGCTCACGTGCAGCATCTGTGACCTCACCTATCACATCAAGTGTGGAAACGCAACACCAAAGGACTTCAAGTTAATTCAGAGAATCGTACCAATGATCTGGAAATGCCCTATCTGCCTGAGCGACCTTTCATTTGATCTTAATGAGCTACCATTTGCTTCTCTGTCCGAAGAATCTTTCAACTCTATGGTGAGAACAGATCCACTTTACAACGAATATTCACAATGCGATTCTGACAATGATCATTTGTGTGAAATTGCCCAAAAAATAAATGCCTCACCGAAAAACTCAAGCAATGAATCTGATCTCTCGCTGATTGATTGGTTTGCTTCGCACATCAATTCATATCACAAGAGAAATCTAAAAATTGGTCACTTAAATGTGAACAGCATCTACAGCAAGGTGGATGAGGACTAACTCAACACATGCCGATTCAACATATTTTTTGCAGCAGAAAGTAAGATCGATGGTTTAGGTACCAGCACTTCATTTGCTCATTCAGAATATTGCCTTATGCGTAGAGATCGGAAGAAAGGTGGTGACGGTATGCTAGTCTACATACGACAGTCTATAACAGCCCTTCGCCGAGCAAGACTCGAACCAGATGGTGTTGAATCAATATGTTCAGACATTAAGGGCTCTGGCAACTCCTGGTTTCTAATATGTGCGTGCTAACACTCACCCGGCAAATGCAAGATCTCAGTCTTCTTATCCTCGTGTGTTTTAGTGGCTGAAAAAATGTACACAAAGTGTAAGGAAGTCATGTTTCTTGGAGACTTTTGACATGCTAACGGAAAATGAATCTTCTGTTGGATCAAGTTAGAGTCTTATGAATTTTTGCCACTAATTTTGCCTGACTAACACAATATCTGTTCCCACAAGAGTTACAGCTTCAACGAAAACTATGTTGGATGCTATTCTTATTTCACACCCAGAGCACTTTGTTTTGTCCG